AGGCCCTTGACTTTGATGCCGCCGACAATGTAGGCGGCAGCAGTAGGAGGCTCCGTGATCGCTTGACTGTGCGCCCTGGACTCGAGGTCGTTTGGGGCTTTGCTGCACATGGATCTGGCTTTGTGTGTGCGTATGTGTGACTGTTTGAAAGGAGCGGGTGCGTGTGCGCGCGCTAGAGTGTGTGTTAGTATATCAGAAGGCGTGTTTATGTTTTTGCTGCAGCTAATGAAGCCACATGCGCAGGACAAATGCATTCTCCAAATTAGGAATGTCATCACACACACACACACACACACCGGAGGTGTTGAGAAAAACCCATGGCCCAGACTGCATAACTTTAAAATGCATCCTGAGCGAACTCCGCGACATGCTGACTAGTTTGTAGCCTGATAGGGTCGTTGACGATTTGAGCTTCAGTCTCGAGTCTCGTGGCAGAGCTTTGGACATCGAGGTTGGAATTCTGGGTTAACAGGGCATGGGTTGCTGAAGATGGCTAATAAGTCCGAAACGGTTATCCTAATCTCCCTTATCTCCATCGGTATTGCAGCTGCACTGCCTAAATCCTAACTATGTTAGGATTCAATATTTATCCTTGGTGAATAACCCATTCTCGATGGCAGGAAGGCTTTTAGTTGAGAGCTTGTAGCATGACTGGGGCTTTCACTATTTGAACATTAGTCCCGAATCTCGTAGATCATTGGCAGAGCTTGGGACTAAGCCTTCAATGATCAAGGCGTGGCGTTTGGAATTCCGGGTTAACAGGGCATGGGTTGCTGACGATGGCTAATAAGTCCGAAACGGTTATCCTAATTTCCCTTATCTCCATCGGTATTCCAGCTGCACTAACTAAATCCCAACTATCTTAGGATTCAAAACTAATCATCCTCCTCCTCCAATACCATCCATGAATAACCCATAACCGATGGCATGAAGGCTTCTGGTTGAGAGTCGGGTTGGACATGGATATACGTCTCCCTCCCCGGGCTACAGCTGGCCCTCGACAAGTAATACATTCCTGTATTCTGACTTTGACCCCAATCAAACTGTAACACCAGCCTCCTCTTCAATTTTAATCACAACCTGCAACCCTGTAACTTTGCACAAGGCCACCTCTAATACGGAGGCACTTACCACCGTATCCTACCAAGAATAATTTAAGTCACTCGGGGCATTTTATCCCGGCCCATTTCAGTTTTGCAAAACCAGCAAGTCACTCACTGTGCTCAGGCAATTGACAAACAAATTATCATCACAAAGAGAGAAAAACTTGAAGAGAAAAGTATAGCCCAACCAATTTTGATATAGAGTATTCAGCTGCTTCCTCCGCAGGCTTCATTCAGATTTAACATAAATGATTCCAGATTTCACGATGAACTTAATCTCATCTCCCCCCCCTCTCTGTCGGTTTTTAGAACTTGCCCATCTTTAACCAACTCTGGGCCGCCCAAAAACTTCGGTCTCTCCTCTCTTCCTACCGCGACCTATTGTCACCACGGCAGTGGAAAGAATTTCTGCACAAAACCCCCAGTGTCGCTTACTACGACGCCTCCCAGCCATCCAACGCGGAACCTGAGGTGAACCTCGAACTCCTTGAGGCCGCAGTGACCGGTGTGCGGGCTGCCGTGGCCGAATGCCGCTACCAATTCCGTAACGAACGTTGGAACTGCAGCCAGGTCCTTGAAACGGACAACAACGCCCTCTTTGGAAATGTGCTCATGAAAGGTCTGTGTCTGTGCATGCGCGATATTGTGTGTTTTACTTGCTCAATCTTCAAGTTAGTGGGCTAACTCGTAGGCTCAGTCTCGATAGATTAGAGATTGCAGTCAAATCGTTTCTAAGAGGAGGGAACACCATGTTCTAAAATTCGGAGGACCTTACTCGTCCAGCAGTATGCCCTGCCCCTTGGATACTAGGGGGTTGAAGAGATGCCGACGAGCCGTACTAAATAAATAGGAAATAGCCATTTTATCGGCGTTAATTTTCAGAACACACTATGATAACAAATGTTGTGCCATAAACTTCACAGATACTGCACTATTCAAATACTGAATTACACACACAGTGTAAACGCCTTAAAATTTGGATCATTGCATCTTTCAAATATTTAATATTCCAAGTACATCTTGTTGAGGTGATAGTACATGCAAAGGCTACTGGCAAATATTTCTAAAAATAGAGGAGGAGAAGAAGAAGGCACGTCGATCACTGGAATCATAATTTTAATCTTCCAAGTATTCGTTGAAGCTGTAGCGGCTTTATCTTTAGATCCTCCACGATCCTTGTCAGCAGTAACCAAGAAATTGACTTGCCAAAGGATGGGTTTGTGAATGCTGGGATCTCAGTTCGCCGATTTGAAACCGGGAGAGTCGAGAGGAATCTCGCTTGTAAGTCGCCGTTAGATGCTCCTGAGCCCGGGAATGATCACCAGAGAATGGTGTCGTTGAAGGGCAAAGAAAACAGCGGCCGGTGAGGTTGGAATATTGTGAGCGGTGACATGGTGTAAGCAAAGTGTGCTTAGAAGTCTGCCCGCCGTACTAATCGAAAGTGTATTTTCGCGCGGCTTGCGTTAAAACAAAAAAATCATTAAGTTAAATTTAAACAAACGTACAGGTAGGGCGAAGGGCCCACAAAGCCTAGGCCTCCGATGAGAACTCAGTCAGTTGATTTATCGATCTGGCGCCGGCGTATATTGCCCTGCGCAGGCATCTCTGAACTGATGGCACTAGGAGTTGACTGGCTCCTGCACCCTATAGCTCTTGCTTGTTTTTCGTTGACGCTTTATTCTCTCACGATAGACTCCAGTAAGAGACGGAAAGTTCAGACGAATAAAATTATGACTCCACTAATCGACAGGCTTTCTATTTCTTCTCTGTTTGTACATATGCCTGGGAGGTGAACATTTTCCTCAGTTTGTTTCTAAAAATGATAAACGGATTTCTTACTTTCCTCGAGCGATAATTGACAAAATGCTTGTTCCGTTTAGCTGTTCAGTAATTTCCACCGCAGAATGCCATCGATATCTGGGGCATATTTTCTGAAAGGCAATTATTACTTCATGTGTGTCTGGTGGGTACTTTTCGATAACCAGGCTTACTGTGACTTGTCTACAGTTATTTTTTTATCAAAAGTGCATTGCTACAGACATTCCACCGCGTTTGGAATTCGAAAGGTTTCTCTCTACCGTATAAAGTACACGTGAGAAGGTTTTTTTAAACACACTGTTTTTTTGTCCTTGTTTTGTAGGCATTCCGGAGACGGCTTTCGTCTACTCCATCGTCAGCGCGGGTCTCGTGCGAAGCGTGGCTGAAGCCTGTCTGAACAATATTCGCAACTGCCCCTGCAATAACCGCGGTCGGACGGAGACTGAGGCCGGTTGGCAATGGGAGGGCTGTGATCACAATATCCACTACGGTCGGCGGTTCACCCGGAACCTGCTTGATCAAATGGAAAACGGATTCCACATTCGCTTTCTGATGAATTTGCACAACTATCGCGTTGGACGCCGAGTAAGTCTCAGTTTTTGTCGGCATGAAAATAAAAACATTTCCCGTATAATCAGATAGTATTGCCAGCAAAGACAAGGGAGACGGGAATGTGACCATTTCTGGCTCATTAGTCGTCTTCAGTTAGTCATAGCCAGACCCAAGTGGTGCCCCATCCGAGCCTCGAACTCGCGACCTTCTTGCTCAGAGTCTTACGCCTTAACCACTGAGGGTCCACGGGCTCGTTGTCTTGGTGGTTTAGGTGGGGGAATATTGACAGTTATTGATGGATGTCGTTGATGAACTTGTCGAGGTGTATGGGATACGTCGGGAAGTCACCAGTTATCGAGGAATATTAAGGTTGAGAAGGTTTAACCCCAACAGCTGCGATCTTCCAGGCCCGGTTCCTTAGGAGATGGCAGAGAAGCCTTGGGAAAGCCAGATTAGTAGGAAGAGTATGTTCTTTACATACGAAAAGGAGAAAAGTTAGGAAAAAGTCCTGACTGATACAGTGCACGCCTAACCGCGAGGCGGGCTAGGTCCGGAGTGATGCCTGGGGGCAGATATTCGAGTGGCCACCGTTCGAGGTTACGTATCGGCGTGGGCGTGTTAGTAGGTTGCGCCAAACACTTTGCGGGCAGTCAGCGTGACTGCAGCCTCGACGTTGGGATGAGTCAGCGATCACGGGTTCTCACACTGGCGCTAACGCCCACTACAAACTCGTTGGTGAATGTTCATCAACGACTGTTAATATCTCCCGACCAATAACGGCAAGACAACGAACTCGTCGCTCGATGATGAAGGCGTAAGACTCTGTTCCAAAAAGGTTGCAAGTTCGAGGCTTGAGTAGGGCACCACTTGGATCGGGGTATGACTGGATGACGACGGCTAATACGCCAAAAAATGGACATTCTAGTCTGCATTGTCTTTTCCGGCAATACTGTTTGTTTATAAGTAGTGCTATCCTGTCTATATTGTTAGTTGCTGACCGGCTGATTCAGATTTTACGAAAAAATGACTTTCGTTGGTCAGAGCTACTTGCAGCGTAGTAAGCATCTGCACTATTTGTGCTGTTTTCGAGGCAGAGGACGTTCCAGTAAGCAAGCAGGCGCGAACGAATCCAAGTGATCTGCGTGAATTTGTCTTACTTGTTAAAAACGATACGATGTGTACATAGAAGGTCTGTAGACCCGTGCATAAGCCCATGGGGGCACATTCAAGGTGCACTTGTATCCAATCTACTAAGTTCATGTACTAAAAATCCTGTCATATCATTTTTGATAGGAAAGCACATGCTACATTTATTTTACACTTCTTTGTCCTTTTTTGTAGGTTGTTTCCCAGAATATGCAGAGGTACTGTCGTTGCCACGGAACCAGTGGATCCTGCACAATGAAGACCTGCTACAGACAGACGCCCACAATGAGAACCATTGGAAACCAACTGAAACACATGTACCAGGAGGCCTCACAAGTAATTCGAGGTGAGAATATTTGTCCTGGTTGCATGCCTGTCTGCCTATGTGCCTGTAGCGGTCTAATTAGTGGGTGAACTGGGATCACTACAATCCTCAGATTGAATCCCGGGTTGGAGGTAAAAGGCTGAAGACACCTGTGAGAGGGGTTTATTATATAGAGAACTCCTAGTTGCCGTCTCAGGCCTGACCTAGAGTTGTATGGCTCAGATTTACTGAAGACGTCCAACTCAGTTCGTGGCGGGATGGCGTTAACCACGTTCCCCTATCTGCAGGCACGAGTTATTGAAGCTGGTTTTCAGTCATGTATATTACTTGCGTGTTTGGATCACGTCGGGTTCACCAATTCTGCAGTTTCTAAGGTATGCTTGAATCCGGATCACTAGTAGGTAGAGGACTGAAGGCATCTGTGGGAGGGATTTATTGTATGCAGAACTCCCGGTTGTTGCTTCAGGTGACAGGGGCTACTGGCTAAGCCAAGGCTAGTCTTGA